AGGGTGGGGACGGGGGACCTGTCCCCTGCGCTCGGAGACAGAGTGTCCTGTTTACCGGAGACTAATCACCGATTCAGTTTGTGCAGATGAGGAAATGCCGACTTTAACCTTTGTGCAGAAGCCCAGACCCGCGGTGGGGTGTTTACCTGACCCGCGGGGGTCAGAGGCTGCGGACCCAGCCAGCCGGAGGGGACCGGCGGCCTCCGGCGGGGCGGCACTGCCCTCTCGTGGCCAATCGGCGCCACTACATCGGGCTCGTGACCACATGTTCTTTTGCTCCTGTTCACAAAATTCCTCCCAAGCAATTAGAATCCTCCAGAAATTTCTTCTTGAGGGCCTTTCAACTCAACCAACTATCTTTCATGCCTAATGAACGGGTATCTCCTAGAATCGAAACAGAATAGTGGCATTTTAAAGCTGAGAAAGCAATAGGAACAGCACTAGCCCTGCGCTGATGATGTCAGCCCTCGGTGTTCAAAGGTTTCCGGGGTAGACTTTGGGAACCCGGTGATTGGGGACTTGAAAACCTCCTCTAAAACCTCCTCAGATGATATATTTAAGGAATCCTAATTAACTAGACAGCAGTCCCAGCAAAAGCATAACTGAAGAGTTAAATCTACAAAGGAAAATTAAATGTAATGTAAAGTCAATTAAAAGAGTTGGAACTCAATACCGTTTTCCATTGCCCACGCCACCTCCCCTCTCGGCCCACCACTGACCGCCTGGGAGAGCTATTTCTCCTCCTGGCTGACTTACTTCTGGTTTTAGAAGAGGCAACCCGATTCAAGCCCCTCCGGAAGTATGTGTACAGCTATGAGGCAGAGAGCTCCAGCGGCGTCCCTGGAACCGCAGACTCCAGAAGCGCCACCAGGATCGGCTGCAAGGTAAGGAGGACGGGCGTGTCCTGCCCGGCCCTCTCCAGCAGGTCTGGCCCCAGCTTTCCAGGGTCTCAAGGTGCCAGCCGGGCCCCTCCGGGTGTAAGGCAACCCCTTGGCTAGGAAGCTGCCTGCCTCAGAAAACTTAGCAGCCCTGAGGGTTTTCTCATCAACTCCCGGGGCGGACTGTGTGGCCGAGATTTCAGCGGAGGAGGACATAGATTTGCACTTGAGAGAGGCGCGGGCATCTCGGAAAAGCCCCTTGCAGTGCAGTGTCTGTGACCTGAGTCAGACAGAATGTACCGCTGCAAACGAACAGGGGAAGACAAGATTTAGACGTGCAGTTAGTTCTTAATGAAGCTTCCTCTCTGTTGAGACTGGCTCAACTCCCACCTGCACACCTATGGGGCAGGAGGCTGAAGGGAAGCGGCGCTGAGAAGGGCCCTTTTCTATCAAGGCCCATCGCTCTTGTCTTGCTGTCAGATAAGGTCGATGTGGCTCCAGTGGACTCAACAGGTTTTGGGCAACTTTAAGGGAAATTTGCTGTTGCGAACAGTGACGGCCATCTTCCTCTTCTTTTCCCTGAACTCCCTCTCCCGGCCTGCGGCTCTTCTGAACACGCCGCACTCTTCAGGCGCGTCAGCTCTTGATGCCTCAAAGGGTCTGTCCCCTAGATTTGGGGAGCCCTGTGACTTGGTCGTTGACGGCCTGCTCTCTAGGGACCCTAATTCAGAAAATTGTTGCCCGGGAGGAGGAAAAGACCAAACTGGGACAAGGCCTAGGGTGATGCCCGGAGACCCACGAGGTGGGTCTGGGGTACATGTGGTGCTGGGGACCAGGCCATGACCTTCTCCAGCGGTGCTGCCTTCGGCTCTAGATTAAAGACGAGGCCCTGGGCCGTGGGGATGGCTCTGCTCTCGATGGAGAACCGTGGTGTTTGCCCACCTTCGTCCTCAGGTTGAGCTGGAGGTTCCCCAGCTCTGCAGCTTCGTCCTGAAGACCAGCCAGTGTACCCTGAAAGAGGTGTATGGCTTCAACCCTGAGGGCAAGGCCTTGCTGAAGAAGACCAAGAATTCTGAGGATTTTGCTGCTGCCATGTCCAAGTAAGGCCTGGGCTTGCGGGGCCTTGGTTGTGTTGCACATGGTGGGGGTGCCGGTGAGTGTACATGGAGGAGCGAATGTGTGTTCCTGTTAGCCGTGCCTGAGAGTATGAGCATTTGTATTCTGTTCTCCCTGTGGATGGGGAACTGCAGAGATTTCCTGAGTATCACAAGGGAGGAAACGTTGTTTATTGGCCCCTAGTGAAGTTCCCTTCATTATCATTTACCTGTGCTTCCGAAAGATCTCATGCTTTTAAACTCACAGAGGCAATAGAGCAGATAGTCTGGCCAGAGTGTGTTCTTCCTTTAAGGAGCTGGGTCCTCAGCGCAGTCCTGGCAGTGCTTACCGCTGTGGCCACCTCCTGGAGTCACAGGGCTGAGGCGACCCCTGCCCCAGGCTGGATGCCGGTGCTGCCCTTCATGGCCTGCGTCTCTCTGGCATCTCAGGGCTCAGTCGTTAAATGTTGCCGGCGTCTCGCTGCCCCTCCTGCTTCTGGTGTAGGAAGCACTAAGCATCCACACGGACGTGAGGCCGTTAGCGTGCGGCATCGGGAACCCATCGTCTTTCTGTGTCGAAGACTTCCGAGTGACGTATGAGAAGAAGCTCAGACTCATTAGCAGCTGAGATGTGCACCTAAATCGGTGTCACAAAGGACAGTCCCACCCCACACCCGGCTCGCCGGAGGGAAGTGTATCCTGTGCGCTGCTGCAGGAACCGGGAGCCAGGAGGCCACGTCCGCCCTGGCTGGAATCACGCACGGTCTCCGACGAAGCAGTCCAGCCTCCAGGGCTCCAGGCCAGGAAAGTGGAAGCAGGTTCACCCGGGCGTTTATTCGGTATTGTCTGCGTAGCAGTAGAGTCCAGAAAGCAACTGTAACTGCCATGGCATGAAGCCGTGTTGGAGAAACTACTTAACCGCAGTATGAAATGTACACTGACTTTCAAAAGAGCTGCACCCAGTGACTCGCGACGGTCACCGAGAATAATCAAATGGGGAAAGCAAGCTGAAGAAACTACGTCACCAGTGTCATTGGAACAAAACAAACAGTGACGTCTGGGTTTGTGCCCACACGGGTCTATCTACCCAGGAGCCTGTGGGCGTGGAGAGAGACAGGCAGCGACATCCACAGGGTCCAGGCGGCAGTGAGGGCAGGGAAGAGGCTGGGTGGGCAGCGGAGAAGGGCTGGGTGAGCTGCACAAAAAGGAAAAAGAAACAAAAGAGGCCCAGTGCCGCCTCCACTGGTGTAATCTCCTGGAAGTGTGTGGGTATTTGTGTTTGAAGTGCTGTGAAAAGAACGGTTGTGAGAGGGCCTGTGCGAGCACCCACTTGCTCCCGCCCAGCAGGCCCCCCTTTACATGCTCTCTCCGGCACAGGTATGAGCTCAGGCTGGCTGTACCTGAAGGGAAGCAAGTTGTCCTCTACCCAGCGGACAAGGAGCCCAAACACATCCTGAACATCAAGAGGGGCATGGTCTCTGCTCTCCTGGTTCCCCCGGAGACAGAAGAGGCCGAGCGAGAGCTGTTCCTGGTGAGAATTTAGAAAGCTGAGGGCAGCGCCCTGGCCCCTTCTCTTCGCTGTCTGACGCCAGTGCCCTGGGTGTAAAGTGGATCCTGGGCTCCACTGAACTGGAGAGAAACACCAGGGCTCTCCGCTCCTCTGTCCTTTGGGCTCACTGTCAGATCAGCTGAGCAGGTTACACATGTTGGGTCTAAATGTTTTCTTAGCAGTTTTAACTTGTATTAGCACATAGTGAAAAAAAAAAGTACAAAAAGGGATAGGCCAGAGATTTAGCTCAGGGGTTCCGGCGCCTGCCTCGCAAGTGCAAGGATTCGAGTTTGATCCCTGGTACCAAAAAAAAAAAAAAAAGAAACTTGTAGTAGCACATAGTGGTTACGTCTTCATGGGGAGCTGCTCCGTGGACATAACAACCTTCATTTCTTTCATGCTGTTCCCCTCCCTTACCCCGCTCCCTCCATTTCTTGGTCACCTTCCCATTTGCAAAAGATCTATCTCCCTGTTTCGTACTGTCTGCCTTTTATTTTGCTCTTTGTTTAATTCCCCCAGTTACTAGGGAATTTGACCACTCCACCTGTCTTTCTTTGACCGCCCCCCACGATTCATACACTGCAGCACAGTAAGGCCTGTGAGTATTTTATATACCAAAAAGACTGGGACATGTTGCCAGCTTCTCGAAAGACTTCAGGTCCAGCCATAGACTTCACTCCTGCAGTCTCTTTGGGACCCTGACTGTGCTGGGAGTTATGTCCTGTGCTGTGTCTGACACAGAGATGCACTGTGGCTGCCAGGCCCCAGAAATGCCGCCTCTGCTCACAAGGAGACAAAGTCCCTCCCACAGCTATGCTGCGGGCCTTGCTCTTTCCGGCCTCTCCCCGGCATCTCTGATGCTCTGTCTTTGACTTTGTCTTCTGTCTCTGCAGGATACTGTGTATGGAAACTGCTCCACACACGTCACGGTGAAGACGAGGAAGGGGAGTGTGGCCACAGAAATGTCCACAGACAGAAACCTGCGGCAGTGTTCCGGCTTCCAGCCTGTCAGCGCAGGTGCCAGCCCCCTGGCCCTCATCAGAGGCCTGGTGAGTCCCCACCACCCCGTGTGTGCACAGTGGCAGCCTCTCAAGGAGAATTCTGGGGCAGCCCAGCTAGCAGGGACTTGGAGAACAGTCTTCCTGGCTTGCTTTTCACGTAGACTGAGGGCACAACACAGGCCCAGACTCAGGAAGAAATACCAAAGCTGATTATTAATCGCGCCAGGACTACAGTCAGGCTCCCGACTGCCAGCCCAGAGCTTGGGCCTTCCTATGGGCCTCTGTCATGGTACCCAGCCGTCTGCAATGAGAGCAGTGACTGTCCATCCCTGAGGAGACAAAGCCACCGCTGTTCCTGCCTGTTAAAGGCTGGCTGTCCTGAGCATTGGCCTCCAAGGAAGTCCCAAGACCTGTGTTCTCTCCTCTCTCTCATCCATAAAATGATGAGGCTGAGAAATGTCCCAAATCCACGTCCCAAGTGTGACTATGACCAAAGCCAGGCCCTTGGCCTCCTGCCCAGGCTGCCCTCCCAGTTCTAACCTCCTCTGCTGCTAGCAGGGTCGTGTGGAGTGGCATTTCTGCTTTTGCTTGGCCCCTTGTGACACCTTCTGGGACAGATTGGCTCAGTGAACGTGGCAGACTTGAGCAATCGCCAGCGCTAGCAGTGTTCGGGGTCACTGTCCTCAGTGGTGGGGTCTGAGGACCACAGAGCCACAGGCGGAAGAGGCCAGGGCACTGGCTTGGGGTCTTTTCTGAGCACCTGCTTCATGCTTATCCCCTTTCTGGGAGCCCTGGGGGAGGAAGAGCAGGAAGTGGGCCACTTCCAGGCTAATGCAGCCCTGGGTTCATCCCATGTGCACTGAGGGCAATGCCGGGCCCCAGGGACCGGTCACCTGGGCAGTGTGGTGAGCAGCGCCGCCTCTGACTGCGAAGGCCAAAGCGGCTCTCACACGCTTTATTTGGAAAAGTCACAGAGGATGGGGAGACGAACCTGAAGCAGGCGTAGGAAGCTCACCCAGCAGAGAGCTGGAAGGACAGACTTCTGGGCAGAGAAGCCCTAGGAAGTACAGCTCGTGAGCGTCTGTGTGTGGGTGTGAGGAGTGGTGCAGGACACGAGCGGTGCGTGTGGTGCGAGAGACGGGTCTGCAGTGGCACATGTTGACCTGCCTCCTCCCCATCTCCAAGCCGTGTCCAGTTTCATCTCGCAGTGTGGGCCCCCCAGCCCCTCCCGCCCTGAAGGCTTGTGCCCTGGAGACACATCAAAGCACTGTTTTCCTGCCCTTCCCAGGCCCGCCCCTTGTCCACTCTGATCAGCAGCAGCCAGTCCTGCCAGTACAGCCTGGATCCCAAGAGGAAGCATGTGTCAGAGGCCACCTGCAAGGAGCAGCACCTGTTCCTGCCTTTCTCCTACAAGTAGGTCCCCACTGCTCCTCGGTCCTCGTCTCCCGGTTCACGTGGGACGGTGCTTCTCCGGTGCCCCGGTCGGGCCAGGCCGTGCCTGGGAGGGCGTTTTGTGGGGGTACAAAGCAGATCACTTCTGTGTCCCCCTTTCCAAGCTAAGAGGCAACTTGGCGGAAAAGTCCTAGGCATGTGAAACAACTTGACACCGACAGAAGACATCCTAGATTTGCATTTTAAGGGCTGAGGATCCAGAAAGGCAGGGGAGCATTGCGGGTGCCCTGGTCAGAAGTAGCTTCAGGGAAGGTTTTGACTGGAGATTTCCACACCAAAACCCACTTTGGAAACTGACAGTTAAGCAGTCTCCACTGCCTGACTGCTGTGTTCTTGGCACCGTGCTGTGGGAGGCACAAAAGAATTTCAAAGCACAGTATTTGTTCATCTCAATCCTGTGGGCATTCTAGGCTGCTGTTGGGTATAAAGTATATTTATCTTTCTGGTGGGCTTTGACTAGCTATTTTTAGGGGATTGTGCATGGCTGGATTTAATTATGCTGCCACGATGTGGGCAGAAGTAGAGACGAGGAACTGACGGAAAGGGCTTGTCTGCGGCGTGACGTGCTCCCTTGTTCCCAGGAATAAGTACGGAATGATGACCCAGGTTACGCAGACTTGGAAACTCGAAGACACTCCTAAGACCAACAGCCGCTTCTTTGGTGAAGGTGAGAGTTGCTCTACGTGCTGGGAGGGCAGCCGTGGCTTAGCGCTCGGCTGGGCAGTCAGATGGCTGCTGGCTGGCAGTGAAGTGGACTGTGGTGTTCTGTCCACCGAGCTCCCAGTGGGGAGAAAGCAAATCTGTGTCCCAAGGTCACAGGGAGAAGTTTCCAGTGCTACTTGGGTTTGCACAGGTAGGAAATTGGAAGGCTGTGTACTGCGATGCCTTTGGTAGAACTGGCTCCCTCGCACAAGCTGGCAAGGCTTAGGGCCCTCCTGCAGGAGTCAGAAGTGGGAAAGGACCCCCAGGGGCGGGCCACTAGTAATTCAAAGAATTGATCTTTAGAGGTAAAAGGAACTCTCCTTCTTTACCCACAATTGTACTATATTTAAATCCGTCAAAACTCTCTGTCCAGACTTCATTGCTCTCTCTTCAGAGAGCCTCTGGGGTCAGGCAGTAGATGCCTATGCCTTTATGTGGGGTTCTGCACAGGAGAAAATGACACATGGGGAGCTTAGAGATGTGGCCACGGCCCCAGAATCTCACAGGGGCGCAAGTGAGCCAGGTCTGATGGGAGCCAGGCCTGCTCTCGGCCCACCCTCTCCTGCTGGCCCTCATCCTTCCCCTAGCACAGGTCAGAGCAGGGTGACGGCGATGCACAGGGTCTCCCTGCCCCGCGAGCTGCTGGGAGGCTCAGTCGGAAGAACCTATGGTGAGGACCACGGAGTCTGAGTCTCCTCACAGATGTCCCCGCAGAAGGTCATCTGATACCAGATTCCAAGAGCCTGCGTTCAATCCCAGACTCACCTCCCAGGCCCAGGGGGTTCGTGGGTAACAACTTTCAAAGTACATCACTCACCTCTGGGTCTTCGATCCCAGCTCTCCAGGAGTGCTACCGACCCTCAGGCATACAACGATGAGTCAGTCAAAAACAAAAGTCAAACGCCTGGTGTAGCTGTTTCCTTCTCTTTTCCCCACTGCTGGAGCCTCCCTGGTTTCCGGCTCCCCTTCGACAGATGCTCTGCTGAAGTAAACAGAATTCCTTTGATGCTTTGCCTCTTCCAGGCACCCAGAAGGTGGGCTTGGCCTTCGAGAGCACCAAATCCCCGTCACTGCCAAAGCAGGCCGAGGCTGTTCTGAAAACTCTCCAGGAGCTGAAAGCACTGTCTGTCTCTGAGCAGAATGCCCAGAGAGCAAATCTCTTCAATAAGCTGGTCACCAACCTGAGAGGCCTCAGCAACGAGGCAGTCTCATCCCTCCTGCCACAGCTGATCGAGGTGTCCAGGTAGGACTTCAGTGTTGCAGCCTCTCCGATGTCCTGCAGAAACCAGCAGAACTTTGAACTTCTGCCAGAGAAACTCAAGGGCCACTTATCAGTCCAGTTAATCAATTAGTAAATTATCAGTTAATGTCTGCTGCGTAGACAAAAGTCAGCTGAGTGCTTAGTATTCATGGGCAGAACACACACACACACACACACACACACACACACACACACTGCATTGCCAGCAGCCATGCATTGGAATGTTAAAGCAGGGGGAACCAGTTCCCACATTTGATCAGTGTGTTCTGATTCCTGCTTCTACCTGCATACCCTGGAAAGCTTGGGAGACAGAGGTCTGTGTCCACTGGAAGCTCACAGGCTGGTGGAGAAAGAATTCAGGCAAACAAAATAATGTGACTTCTGTGTAGTTCAAGGCCCTGGATCCAAGGACAGTGAAGGTCACAGAGGGCCCGAGGCCAGGAAAGGACCGTGCCAGTGTTGGCCAGACATGCCTTGACCAAAGGATGCTGGGAACTGTCCTCCTTTGGCTTTAGGTCCTAGGCTCCTTCTGTAGACTTTCCTAGGCGCTTCTGTTCTAGTGGAAATAAATACTCCAGGGAGAGTATGATGCATCTTAGCTCTGAGATGCATTCTGAAAAATAGTTAGATTTGGATAGTGAAGGGGGACAGGATTAAACACGCACGCCCGGGCCGAGATATTTGACGTGCTCTGAAGATGCTCTCTAACTTCTCTGTACTTCTGTCCCCCAGCCCCATCACCTTGCAAGCCTTGGTCCAGTGCGGACAGCCTCAGTGTTACACTCACATCCTCCAGTGGCTGAAGAGTGAGAAAGCTCACCCCCTGCTGATAGATGCTGTCACCTACCTGGTGGCCCTCATCCCAGACCCCTCAGTTCAGAGACTGCGTGAGATTTTCAGCATAGCCAAGGAACAGCAGAGCCGCGCCACCCTGTACGCGCTGAGCCACGTGGCCAGCAGGTCAGTGTCCACAGGCTGCTGCTCCCCCCGGGCCAGGGAACGGACACAGCTGCCTGCCTCCGCCTTCCACCCTGCTGGTTCCTCTTGTTTCTCTGCTGGTCATTTTGAGAGAAAAAGTGCAAAATAAGAAGCCAGCAAACCCGAGCCTGGATTTGAAGAGCGGCCTAAGTGTGCCTCCCAAGTGCTAATACTCCTCTCTCTGACTCCGTAGCTATTTTCAGACGACCCATACGGTGAACCAGGACCTGCAGGATGTGGCGAATTACCTCCAGGAGCAGATCCGCGACACGTGTGCCGGGGATGAGGATCACACCTACCTGATCCTGAGGGTACCTCCTGTCTCCTGTACAATAGGCAGCGTTTCAGAAATGTGCCTCCTGGACCCCCTTGCTTCTCCCTCTTCATTGTGATGAGTTCCGTTTCCTCTCTTTAACGCAGGTCATTGGAAATATGGGCCGAACCTTGGAGAGCATAACACCTGCGATCAAGTCTTCGGTCCTGAGCTGCATCAGAAGCCCAAAGCCATCAGTGCTGATTCAGAAAGCTGCTATCCAGGCCCTGAGAAAGATGGAACTTGGAGATGAGGTAAATGACCCAGAGGGCTAAAAGTGCACCTTTAAGGTGATCGACAGGGTTTGGGAAAGTGTGAGAGGAGTGAGATTCTAAAATTCATCCCATTACTGACTTTATTCTACTATTTTCTAGTTGCAAATTTCAACAAGTCCATTACTTGACTCCTAGAACTATGTGGGTGTGAGCGACATTATTAACTCTGCTGCCCCCCACCACGCAGAACACTGAGATCCTTCCCACTATACTAACCATCACCATCATGAGGGAAAACGTGCCTCTTTTCCCTAGTGTCACCAAACTAGGATAGTTGACCCAGTCCTTCCTTAGCTGGCAAACACCCCAGATCTGGGGAAACTGCCTTTCTCATTAGCTCCAACCTCACACAAAATAACTTGTTCAAAGAACTTTACCTTCACTTAGTGGCACAACTTGGTCATAATTTGTGTATTTTAATGCAATTGCATTCAACATACCCTTAATGGAAGTCCTCTGGGAGGCCACGATGAGCTGGTTGCTCAGGGCAGTGTGTATTTACTGCCAGCATTTGAAGAGTTATTAGATTCATGCATGAGTCAGAGCTGGCAGGCTAGGCATTTGGGGTTCTGAGCATAGGATGCTCTCTTGCTGCAGGCCCAGGAGCTCCTCCTCCAGACTTTTGTTGACAGCACCTTTCCAGTGGAGAAGCGGCTGGCTGCCTATCTCATGCTGATGAAGGGGCCTTCCCAGGCAGATGTTAACAAGGTTATCGGACTTCTCCCACGGGAAGGGAATGAGCAGGTGAAGAACTTTGTGGCTTCTCACATTGCCAACATCTTGAACTTGGAAGAATTATATGTTGGAGAGTAAGTAAGCATAATTTCCCCCGTCTGCCACTGAGGGCCCAGGGCTGGAATTCCAAGCTTCTGTTCTGGCATACGAACTACCTACCTCTTAAGGGACTGTGTTTTCTTCTAAAGCAAAGATGTGTGTGTGTGTGTGTGTGTGTGTGTGTGTGTGTGTGTGTGTGTCTGTGTGTCTGTGTGTCTGTGTGTAGCAGACCATGAGCCAAAGTCTTGAGGTCAAATGAATCTCATATATCTCAGTGATTGAAAATCCATATTTACTTGGGATGTGAGAGACAATGAATAAGTAACATCATGTCCTGGCTCAGAAAGAATTCTTTTCATCTAGTCTGAAAACTTTAGTGAGAGAAGCTCTGAAGGATTCTCAACTTCCAACCATCATGGACTTCAGAAAATATTCCCGGAACTATCACTTTTCCAAGTCTGTATCGCTTCCTTTGCTTGATCCAGTCTCAGCCAAAATCGAAGGGAATCTTCTGTTTGACCCAAATAATTATCTTCCTAAAGAAAGCATGCTGAAAACGACCCTGACTGTCTTCGGCTTTGCATCAGCTGACCTCTTCGAGGTACGTGTGAACCTGAAGAGACTTAAACACTCTGTTCGTTCTGTACAACACCATAAAGAGTCAAGGAAGCACTCAGGGCAGTATCACCCGACCCAGGGGGCTGAGGAAGAGAAGTGCATGTGCTCAGGAGCTTGACACAAGCCTGGGCAACATCTAACAAGAAAGACAAAGAAGAAAGTTGAGAGCCGAGGAGAAGGACAGGAATCATTAGGCAGTTGCTACCGTAACCTCGAGGTCTTCCCTCCTTCCTTCCTCCCCTTCCTCTCCCTCCACTAGGGGTCATATGAAACATGACGCCTTACAATTAGGGAACTGCAGAGGGCTCAGGGAAGCCCTTAGTCAAACTCTAAGGAAGCACAGGGGCTACACAGTGATATCTAGTTTGGACCCCAAATCCACTCTCAACTCTGCATCCTGGTCTGATTATTTATCCTCTCTGATCCCTACCTGCCTCTCCTAAAGAACAGACCGAGGCGAACTTTAAATAGGCAACTTCTGTAACATGCTAAGCTCAGCTCTTCCCTGTCCTATTCACCAAATGCTTATTTAATGAAATGGATGTGAAGATGGGGATGGGAGACGGAGGCACAACTAAAAATCCAAGGGCTTATTCTTGCCCAATTTTCTTTCTCAGATTGGCTTAGAAGGAAAAGGCTTTGAGCCAACACTGGAAGCTCTTTTCGGGAAGCAAGGATTTTTCCCAGACAGTGTCAGCAAGGCATTGTACTGGGTCAATGGTCAAGTGCCTGACCATGTCTCCAAGGTCCTGGTGGATCACTTTGGCTACACCCAAGATGACAAGCATGAACAGGTATCTGCTAAGTTTCTTCTCGAGGGAAGTGATGGGTCCTGGTGCAGAAGTGTTCTTTTCTAAGTCTGAAAGTTATCAAGGTGCTACCTACCTGAAATGATAACTGTAGCTACCTGTTAAGTAGTCCTGTGCGCATGCGGGCCAGAGTCCTCCACAGTCAGGGGCCTCTTGGAAACTCAGTGTCCTCAGGAACCAGATTTGCTAGAGGCACTTTAGGGAAATAATAGAGTGTGAAATCTAGGGAATGGTTTTGTAATCTGATTGTTTTGGCGGGGGGTACTGGGGATCGAACTTGGGCCCTTGTGCTTGTGAGGCAGAGGCAGGAGGCACCACTGAGCTAAATCCCCGGCTAGGGAATGGTTTTGAATTCTAACCTCACTGTCGTCAAGCTGTGTTCATATGGACAAGCTGTTTGATAGTATGTGTATCTGTCCCTGGCAAGTACTAGCAAAAGCACATACCTTACAAGGCTATTTAAAGATTAGATGGAATAACAGGTAAAATGCTAGGCAGGGTATCCAACACAGGAACTGATTATTCCGTAAGCCGATACTGTTATCAGTTTAAATTAGTATTTTCATCGTTAAAACTTCTCCTTTAGCTCTCACTCACATCAGCGTGCTAGCTAATGGGACCAAAATCCACTGTAAATCTAGCCACCGGGCCTCCCTTAAGGAGCAGACACTGGGTGATGTATTCTGGGGCTTTTTTTCCCCCCGCCGGAATATTTGCTATCCAAAGTGTGGTCTGGTGATTAGCTCTGCCTGAGAGCTTCTTTGGCTGTACGTCAGCAGCCCACTCAGGACCTAAGCAATCAGAACCTGCACTTTGGGGAGACTCCAGGGACCCTGTGTCCACCTGCAAGGCTGGGAGGCCTGCAATCACCGGCTCTCAGCTGCCCCTAGCAGTCTCACCTCTCTTCTGATTTGCAGACCTCCACTTGAAGCCGGGGGCTTGGGTCTGTTTAGGGTCAGTCAGTCTACTTTCTTTCTCAATGCATTGGTGTCAGTCTATGAGGTTCTTCATGTTTCTAAGAAAAACAGGTCTGGGATCAGAGTGGGCTTTTTTTCAAGCTTGTGGCTGATTTATGTAGCAGCTACATTTTCTCAAGAAACCCCTCATCAAAGGAGCGAGGGCTGAGTTGAGGAGCCCTAGATTGGCTTAGAAGGAAAAGGCTTTGAGCCAACACTTCGAATCTTGAGAACGGGGATTTCCCCTTATGGTTCCTGCATTTTTTTTAAAGTTAAGGACGATTTTGAAAGCACTACTGCCCCTGACAAGACCTCAGGTTGTTTTCATTCATCTTAGACAAATTATCTTTCCACGAAAATGGAAGGAAGCCTGGTTTCGGTGCCTGCTCTGTACCCCACCTGGGTGTTTGTGTTTCTGCCCACCACGGCCTCCTCGGACAGACCCTGCCTCGGAAACCAAAAGGGTTGGGCAGAGCCAGCATCTCACCTGACACTGTGTTCCTCCAATCCCAGGACATGGTAAATGGAATCATGCCCATTGTCAACAAGCTGATTAAAGATCTGAAATCAAGAGACATGCCCGAAGCCAGGGCCTATCTCCGCATCCTGGGCAAAGAGCTGGGCTTTTTCAAGCTTCAAGACCTCCAGTTCCTGGGCAGGCTGCTGCTGAGCGGAGCTCGCACTCTGCAGGGAGTCCCCCAGATGGTGAGTGGCGGGGCCCCCGCAGGGCCCACAGATTCTCTAGGCCAGTGCTCTTCTCGGGTCGCCCAGATCCCTTTCGTATCCTGGCCGCACTGGTCAGAGAAGGTGCCTCTTCTCCCTGAAAGACACAGGTTTTTGTAGAATTTCAATGAAAACGACTCTTGACTCCAAAGAAATGAAGAGATTCATAATCTTAGCCCACCTTTTAAGAGCTTTAGGCTGACCTAGAAAGCAATATTAAGTGTACCTTACTCTACCTACAATGAAGGCTCCTTCTGATATTGAAATAAAATGATAATTATGAAGGAAAGTATTTGACAAACCATAATGCACTGCCTGACTCTTGGTTATAATTTTATCATTGTAATTTACTAACAAAAGGGAAAATATAGAAACATTTTCCCTATTTTTATTAGAGAAATAATCATGTTGGCTTTGAGAAGACAGACCTCAAGTTATTTTATGAAAATGTTATTTAAAAATAACAACAAATCCATGTGATTAGGTACCTCATTTCAGTGATTCTTGGTTTCAAAGGTTGGCTTTACCATCAAATAATATACATCAAGTGAACTCTCATTTACATGGAGACTCACCAAGAGCAGAACTCAGCCATGATACGTGGTACTTAAATTTCACCAAGCTCTGAGGCCTTCTGAGTCACCAGTTGAAAATGACATTACTGTATTCAATCCCGATTATTTCTTAGGTCCCAGTGCATTGAAATCAGCAATGGTTAATTGATTTGTCACGCTTTTCAGATAACTGAAATGTGCTGGTTCTTTCCTTTCTGGGTGAAGATGAGTCTTTGTCTGGAGTTTGGAAAGGAAAACACCCAAACTCACTTACACGAGGCTTGCTTTAAGTTGATCTCCCCTTTTGGATCTGCAGATTGGAGAGGCCATCAGGAAAGGCTCAGAGAGGGACTTATTCCTGCACTACATCTTCATGGACAATACCTTTGAGCTCCCCACTGGAGCTGGGCTTCAGTTGCAAGTGTCCTCGTCTGGAGTCATCACCCCTGGGATCAAAGCTGGCGTGAAGCTGGAAGTGGCCAACGTAAGACTCCGCACCAGTAGCAGACAAATCAGTGGTTGTTCTTCTCCCCTAGGGCGAGTTTCTTGGGCACATTCTTGAAATGTGCTCCTAGCTCCATACAAAGCCCGTCGTCATTGTAGGCCATCATTAACTTTTATGGGAAGAGCTAGCATTCCGCCCGCATGCCCTGCCTCTCCACTCTAGTTGGGCACGGCAACAAAACAAGACCTCAGCTGTGTCTCAGCAAATGCTTGTTCCCGACACCTTTCTGTCTGGCTAGGTTTCAAGCTGACCGAGGTGCTCCGGAGCCCTGTGAATCTAGCGCTAGAGAACTGAGAATTTGGCTTTGCTTCCTCCAAATAAACGACAGTAATGTCCCCTGGGGTGTGAGTTATCTGGAGATATTTACTGTGGGATGAGAGCGTGGCTGGCCTGACAGCCAGAGGCTGACGTATGTAACAGAGCTGAAGAGCTGTCTTCTGACCTGCAGATGAAGGCCGATCTGCTGATGAAGCCCTCCGTGTCCGTGGAGTTTGTGACAGACATGAGTGTCATCATGCCAGACTTTGCACGCAGTGGGGTCCAGATGAACACCAATTTCTTCCACGAGTCAGGCCTGGAGGCCCGCATGGCCCTGAAAGCTGGTCAGCTGAAGTTCATCATCCCTTCTCCACAGAGGCCGGTGAAGCTATTCAGCGGCAGGTAATGCTCCAGCCAGGAGCTCTGGGCCAGACTGGAAGAGTGTTGAGAGCGCGTCTGCAGAATTCTTCCTGGCCAGGGCACTGGCTGGGATAACCTGGTTCAGTGAGGCCGAAAGGAGGGAGGGAAGGCGCTGGATAGTTTATTCTTACCCAGACTCAGACATACGAAACCTTTTCTTCTATTTTCCATACATTTCTTAATTGGCCTGTATCATTCTGTTTGAGACTCAATGAAGATCTTCTGGTTAATCAGTTATTAGTAGGTTGTGAGAGGTTTTTTAGAATGAAGAAATACTCGCTGTGGAGAAATCATCCTTGTGAAATGAATGTGTTTCTCCCAAAGAAGCACTGCAGGACACACTGATTTCTGTGGTTCCCAGCTCAGAGGGTAAAGCATGAAATCCCCAGTCCCGCGATTGGGGACCCAGCCCCATATGGGAAGTTCCATTCTCAACTACAGTCTCCACCGCTGATTTATCTTAGTTTCTGTGTTTTGGGTGCATCCGGTCGCTCATTCAGAAGTAGTATCCAATTGCCCATCAGGTGCCCAGCCTGTCGAGCAGGACGCACGAGGGCCCTGGCCTTCAGAGCGTGCTCTTGCTGGAAAGAGAACGTAGCGGCCATGGAGTGAGGGCCAGGTGGGAGGCGGTGCAGGAGCACCACGAAGCCGTGCGTCGTGGAGCCTGTGGGTGCTAGGAAATGCTCTCTGAAATCACACACGATCTGCTGTTGAGGGCTGTTTCACTTGACCATGCAAAGGAGGAAGGAATGCGCGTTCCATCCATAGAGATGGGCGCATACGATGACCTGAAGGACAAAATAGTTCAAGGAGGTGGAAGAGGCTCAGTAGGGAGCTTAGGTGAGCGACGGCAAGGAGAAGAGGGCCCAGGTCAGACCACACCAGCCCCGAAAGCCACCCAAAGGGGTTTGGACTTTTCTGAAGGGGAAGGAGTTGAAAAGCGGGGTATAGCTGGAACAGGCTGCTGCCTTAGGAGAAATACTTGGGCTGCAAGGTGGGAGTGGGGAGGAAGCACAACTGCAGACCGGAGAGCGTTGTTACGGACATGGGCAAGCAGGGACGGGGCCCACGCTGGAGAGCACTGAGCAGCTCTAGAAGTCGCAAGAGTCACAATCCCGAGAGCCTGGCGATTGGCTGGCTGCACCCAGGGAGAGACACAGGAAGTGTGTGCCCTTTGTTGGAGTAGAGACCACGGGAGAACTGCGGGCTCGGGGGAGATGGTAAAGTCCATTTTGGTTGGGCTGCCTTTGATGGCCTAGGAAACAATCAGGTAGAACTACTTAAGGGGAGTTGGGCCTCTGGGTCAAAGCCAGTAAAGAGTTTTGAGCTTTTCCCCCTATTATTATATATTTCTTAGTAAATCAAATAACTTGAAGTGGGTCTGCACAGAAAGGTAGAAAGGAGGAGAAGTCACGTACTTGGTCAGAATCCGAGATGTTCATTTTGTGGCTGAAGAAAACTCAGATCTTTCCTTCTTCCCCAGAAACACACTGCATTTGGTCTCCACCACCAAGACGGAAGTGATTCCACCCCTCATTGAGGACAGGCAGTCCTGGTCAGCCTGCAGGCCCTTCATTGCTGGCCTGAGCTACTGCACCACCGGTGCTTACTCCAATGCCAGCTCCACACAGTCCGCCTCCTACTACCCACTGACAGGGGACACCAGGTGAGGCGCCCAAGCCCCAGCCCACTCTGCTAACCTTCTGCACTGAGCCACTGCACAGGGCAAAGGGACAGTGTCACGTGGTGCAGGCCTGAGTCACCAGGCTTGTGGACTTGTCCCACTCTTGGTTGCCAAAATTGTTGGTCCTCTGGCCAACTCTGCTGCTGTCCCCTCTTTCCCTTTGGGCTCTGGAGATCACAGCAGATTCCAGCTCGATCCTAACTCATTGTGACAGTTTCTGAGCTTCCAGACCCATTGGTGTGAGCTTCTTGGAGCTTCTAGAGAGCTCAAAGCCTGCACCATGCTCTGGGTCTCCTTGTCCTCCACCCTCCCACTCCTACTTCCTTTGCTCGGCTTTGTGGACAAAACCAGCCGACTCCTGCTCTACCTGTCCAAGGGCCCTGGGAACCCTAGGATCTTCCCTTGCTTTGGGGTCTTGGGGGGACGAACAGGGACCATCAAGATCATTATCAGTGAAGGACAAGAGATAATGCTAAAATAAGGGCCATGTTTTTACTGCACTTGAGGCTGAATTGTTTGAGGGCTGTTATGACCATTATTGATTTATATCCATTTATAGATATGAGCTGGAACTGAAGCCTACAGGAGAGGTAGAACAGTACTCTGCCAGTGCAACCTATGAACTCCAGAAAGAGGACAAAGCCCTGGTGGACAGGCTGAAGTTTGTAATTCAGGCAGAAGGTACGTATCCACAGAGGCTGTTCTAGCTCTGCCCATGGTCTCAGGCTCAGGACTCCAGAGGAGAACAAGCTTACTATAACATTTTAAACAAATGTTGACTGAGAGCCCAGTGAGTACCAGGACTAGCACGGAGGCCAACAGAGAACAATGGAGAAGAAAGCTCAGCTTTCATGGAAATTGCAGGAAACAACCAAGCAAGTAAATATTAAAGACATCAGACCAGTGCGAGGGGTGCTTAGATGGACCTACGAAAGATAGGAGAGGAGCAAGGAAGGAAGGCAGTGAAATCGGGAATGGTACAGAAATGCTTTCCTGGTAAAGTAAGCATAGATAAGAGCTGGGATGGGACAAGCAGATCTGTAGTGAGAAAGAGTGCTACAGGCTGAGGCCCAGTAGGTGCCAAGGCCCTGAGGCTGGAGCGTGAAGGCCATGTCTGAGGGAGGGAAGAGGGCACCGGCATGGCTGAAACAGAGAGGCTTCAGAAAATGGGATCAGAGAAATGCAAGGGGGATAGGGAAAAGGTGGTCTTATAAGCCATGGGCAGAACTTGGTTGTTTATTTGTTTTCCTCCTTTTATGACTCAAATTTTCAAATTTTATATTTCAAGAAAAAAATAAAACAAATTTTCACAATCGAATAATAAGAATATCGGTAGTTATTACACTGTATCATTACCATCATACTCGTTAGTACAAGTCGTAAACCAAAAGAAACAAATGGTAGCACGAACCTTACTTTTCAATGAACTAAGATAAACTAGAAGTATCAATGAAATGATTAGCATATCTATTGAAATGTTTTTTAAAAACAGGACCTCTCATTCTTATTTTCTATTTGTCTCTCGTCTGTTTTGATCTCTATTTGTACTTCTCACATAAGGTAAAACCATGTGATACTGGGCTTGTGTGCGTGACTTATTTCACTGAACGTTATGTTCTTCAATTGCGTCCATTTGCCCGCCAGTGCCTCGGTTTACCTTTCTTTACGGTAGTGTCATACTCTGTTGGCGGAAACACCTCATTTCCTTACCCATTCCATCTGTTGAAGGACACAGGCGCTGTTTCCAAGACCTAGCATTATAAGTTGTGCTGCTACAATCATGAGTATGCAGCTATCTCTGTAATAGGATTTTAGCTCTTTGGGGAAGATACCTAGAAGGGCATCTGGGTCAAATGTAATTTCTGTTTTTAGTTTTTTGGGGAATCTCCACACTGATTTCCATAGTGGTTGTACTAGTTGACATTCCTGCCAACAGCGTAGTAGAATTCCTTTTTCCCCACATCCTGGCCAGCACTTGTTATTATTAGATTTCTTTTTTTGATGGCCTTTCCTTCTGGGGTAAGATGGTATCTCCATGTAGTTTTGATTTGCATTTTTCTGATGGCCAGCCATGATGAGCATTTTTTCATGTATTTATTATGTGTATTTATTTGTCTAAGATAGGTCTATTCATTTCAGCTTCCCATCTTTTGATTGGGTCTTTTATTTGGGGAGTCTAATTTTTTTAATTCTTTCTATATTCTTGGTGTTAATCTTCTCTCTCTCCCTCTGAGAAACAGCTGACAACAATTTTTTTTCCATTCTATAGATGGTCTTTTCCCTCTAGTAGATGTTTCCTTTACTACGCAGAAGCTTTTTGATTGGATATGATCCCATTTGTTGATTCCTGGTATTATTTTTTGTGTAGCATTGACGTTTTCTGTTCAGAACGTCCTTCCTTATGCCTATGTCCTCAAGAGTTATGCCTATTTTGTCTTCCAGCAGATGTTTCTATTTTAACATTTAGATTTTTGACCGATTTTGATTCTGGTTCAGTACTTGGTGAGATTTATGGGTCTAGACTGAATCTTCTATTTGTTAAAGAAGCTATCTTTCCTCCAATATATTTTTTTCTCCTTTGTCAAATAGTTATGTGTTCCTGGGGTTGTTTCTACTTCTGTTTTGTTCTGTTGATACACATGCCTCTTTTTGTGACAGTACCATGCTGTTTCAATCACTATAGCTTTATAATATAACTTCAAATCTGGGATTATAATGCCACCTCCTTTGCTTTTACTACCGGGATTGCTTTTGCCATTCTTGATCTCTTCTGATTTCATATAAATTTAGTGTTTTCTCTATCTCTGTGAGTAATAACATCAGTATTTCTATTGGAATTGCATTAAATCTGTATATCAGTTTGAGGAGTGTAGCCATTTTGATTATGTTCATTCTACCCAACCAGGAACAAGGGATATTTTCCCATTTTCTGTTGTCTTTCTCAATTTTCTTTTGCAGTCTGATCTAATTTTCACTGTAGAGGCCTTTACCTCCTTAGTTATGTTAATATCTAGGTATTTAATTTTTTATGCTAGTGAATGGTATTGTTTTTCTAACTTTATCAATGAGTTCATTATTAGTGTCTAGCAATCCTATTGATTTTTATGTGTTTACACTGCTGAATGTGGTTATCACAATTCTAGGAGTCTGTTGGTGGAGTTTTTTGAGTCTTGTAAGTAAAGTCATGTCATTTGCAAATAATATTTTTACTTCATCCTTTCTTATATGTGTCCCTTTTGTTTCTTTCTTTTGCCTGATTGTTCTGGCTACTATTTCAAGGGCAATGTTGAATAGAAGTAATAAGTATGGATAGCCTCATCTTGTTACTGATTTTAGAGGGAAAGCTTTCATCCTTTCCTCATTTAATAGGATGTTGGCAGTAGGTTGGTCATAAATGGCTTTTATAATGTTAAGATAAGGTTCTTCTATACGTATTTTCTGTAGGGATTTTAATCATGAGTGGATGTTGGATTTTGTGAAAAGCTATTTCTACATCAGTTGAGATGTTCATGTGATTTTTGTCCTGGCTTCTGTCTAAGTGATAAATGACATTTATTGACTTGTGTGGGTTGAGCCATCTTTATGTCTCTAGGATGAAGCCTAGTTGGTCTTGATGTATGATCTTTTTGATGACTTGTTGCACTCTGTTTGTCAGTATCCTGTTAAGGATTTTTGAATCTATGTTCATTAGAGAAATTGGCCTATAGCTCTTTTTGGTTAGGTCCTTGTCTGATTTTGGAATCAATATAATGGCAGCTTCTGAGAATGATTTCAGAAGCACTCTTCCCTCTCAATTTCTTTAAAAATTTTGAGGAGCATTGGAATTAGACCATCCCTGAAGTTCTTGCAGAATTTGACCACGAATCCATCAGATCCTGGACTTTTCTTACTTGACTTTGTTTTGTTTTATTTTGTTTTGTTTCTTACTGCTTCAGTCTCATTGCCTGTTATTGGACTCTTCAAGATTTTTAAATCTTGTTGGTTGGTTCATTTTTGGCAATTCATATGTATCTAGGAATCTCCATTTCTTATGAGTTCTCTAATTCCTTGGTATATAGGTTTGTGAAGTAGTTGCTAGTAATTTTCTGGATTTCATTAGTGTCCATTGTGATTTCACCTTTACATTTCTAATTGCATTAATTTGTGTCTTTTAGGCAAATGGTTTGTCTATTTTAATTATTCTTTCAAAGAATCAGCTCTTCAATTCATTGTTTCTTTTTATTTAGTCTTCATTTTGTTAATTTCTACTCTGATCTTTATAATTTACATCCTTGTACAAGCTCTAGGTTTGTATTTTTCTTGTTTTTCTAAGACTTTGAGGTGCATTATTAGGCTATTTATTTGAGCTTGTTCTATTTTTCTGATGTGGGTACTCACCACTATGAACTTGCCTTGCAGAACTGCTTTCATTGTTCCCCATAAGTTCTGGTATGTTGTACTGGCATTATCTTTTAATGCTAGGAACTATCTTGTTTTTCCTTAATTTCTTCTGTGGCCCATTGATTATTCAAGAGTGTGTTATTCAATTTCCATATATCTGCATGGTTTCTGTGGTTTCTTTTGCTATTGAGTTCTAGTTTTATTGCACTGGGATCTGATCATGTGCATGGCAAAATTTCAATGGTATATCTTGGAGAATGTACCATGTGCAGCTGAAAAAATGTATACTCTGTTATTGTTGTATGGAAAACTCTGTAGATATCCATTATGTCCATTTATTCAAAGATTTTATTCAACTGTGGTATTTCTTTGATGATTATTTGTTTAGTTGATCTGTCTATTTGTGGTAGTGGTGTATTGTGATTCCCCAGTGTAATTGTATTGATGTTTATCTGATCTTTTATCTCCATTAGAGTGTTTATGAAGTTGCATGCACTGTGGTTTGGTGGATATATGTTTGTAATCTTATCTCTTCCTGTTGAATATTTCCATTAATCAAGATGTAATGTCTTTGTCTCTTTTAATCAGCTTTGGCTACTCCTGCTTGTTTTGGGGTTTCCATTGCATGGAATACTGATTTTCATCCTTTGATTTTTAGCCTATGAGTTTCTGTTTGTGTTCAATACATTTCTTGTATGCAGTATACCATTGGGTTTTATTTCTTGATCTGTGTCTTTTTTTTGGTGAGTTGAGTCCATTTACATTGATAGTTATAATGCGTATGTGTTGACTTGTACCTGTCACTGTATTAATTTCCTGTTGCTGTTTTGCTTTCTTAACCTTGTACCACTTCATTCCTAGCCCTACCTGGTGTATTCATTTTACTGGTCCTCTTGGCACTGTGAGCTGCATTGTCACCTTCTAAGACATCCTTGAAAATTTTTTGGAGTGTTGGTTTGTGGTCATGAATTTCTTTGGGTTTTCTTCATCGTAGAGGTACCTTCTTTCTCCATCAATTTTAAAAGATAATTTTGCAGGATATTACCATTTGTTTTGGAGGTTGTTTTCTTTAGAGCTTCCAATACTTCATTCCATGATCACCTTGCCTTTAAAATTTGTATTGAGAAGTCTATTGTAATTAAGATGGATGTTCCTTGATATGTGATCAATTGCTTTTCTCTAGCAGCCTTTAGCATCTGTTCTTTTGTTGTATTTTTCAGTAGGTAGCATGCAGTATTTTTCTTTTTTATGGGCATGGCTATTTGGGGTTCTATATGCTTGACTTATCTGTATGTTAATTCTTTTTCCATGTCTAGAAAGTTTTCTACTATTACTTATGTAAATAGGTGTTTATGCTATTTGTGCTGTTTTCTGATTTTCCACTAATTCCAATTACTCAGATATTAGACTTCTTTGGGTAATCTAGGAGGTGTTGAATCTGTTCCTTAGTTGTTTTTAGGATATCGTTCATTGATTGATCATTGATTACAGCCCTGTCTTCCAGATCTGACTCTGTCTTCACCCTGGTCACTTCTGCTACCCATACTTTCAATCATGTTTTCAATCTCCAGATTTTGCTCGGAGTCTTCTTAGGGACTTCAGTTCTTTTTTATGCTGGGAATTCACGTTTTTACCGCTCATTAGCTCCGCTAGCTATTTGTCAGTGTCTTCTCTAGGCCCCCTGATCATTTGACCATTACAGTCATTATGTGATTGGTTGTATCTTCTTTAAATCCGCCAAGCACCTTCAGAACTGCTCCACCTCCACTCTTACCCTTTCAGCCCTATCTCATGCGTAGCTTGTGATTTCCGGCCCCTCATTGCTCCCTGTACTGATTTGGGGCGAGTGTGGAGTTTTGGAGGCATTTTGTTACCTTAGCTTTTCATGTTTCTTTTTGTTTGTCTGTTTGTTTGTTTGCTGGGGTTTGCATTTCTTTGGACCAGTTCCCCAAGCTTTGGGAGAGAACTACTGTTTATGAACCCCCAGGCTCTCCAGATATTGGCATAGAAAGAAAACCAGTTGCCGGCCACTACTATGTCAACTGGATATGAGAAACTGGAGGAGCCTCTCGTGCACAGCCCTTCACCAAAACAAAGAGGACTCTGGTTTTAGTGAAGACAGTCAGGCCCCCCCCATATTAACTTATGTCTTTCCGGAGCTCTGATTTCTGCTGGATGTTGGCAGCAGTGCCGCTATGCTACCGGCCTTATTCAGAACCCCGAGGATCTCTCCCATAGAGCCTGCCGCTCACAACAGAGCTTAGGGCCTCCAGGGGATCCCAGGAGCTCCCTGTTTAGTTCCCACCCTCTCCAAGCCTGTCTCCCAAGGCTGTCTCTCACCCAGCCTCCCTGGAGGGGATTACTGCAATTCTGAAGGGAGCCTCCTCTCCTGGGTATCGGTCTCTTCTTCAGCCAGGCTGGTCTGTTAGTTGTCAGCTCTGTTTCCCTGTGCTGTGGAGATCCCAGGAACTGGGCATGTGGCTCTTCATTCTGGAGTGCTCCGAGCTCAGATGCAGGTCACCAGCAGGCTGTGGCATTTGGCTGGGGAGGGTGGTTGCTTCCCAGGTCCTCCAGGCTTGGGCCCAGGTCTCAGGCAGCAAGCCACAGCAGCCTGCCACTTTGACTGTTCCTGTGATTGAAATGAGAAGCCACTGGAAAGTTTCCATGAGTTAATTTATGTTTATGTTGAAAATAAATCGTAGGGAAACAAGGACAGAAAAACGAGTACATCATTTACGGCAGTAATCCAGGCAAGGTGCTTCAGATTATAGCGGTGGCAGGAGAGACAGGAGAAGTGGTAGCTTCTGGCATGTTTTGAAGATTAGCCCTGCATCCCTTGGACGAGCTACACATTCCCTATCCCAGAACCTTTGTACATCTGATCCTCTGCCTGGAAGGCTCCCTCCAATATTCAACAGCATCCAAATATGGAACTTGTAACTGTTGAATCCTGTAGAGCCCTCGAAAAGAACAAAATCATTGAAGCCAACCGATTTTCTTCTCAATGGTCACAACACAAAGGGAGAAGCTCAGCTCCTCTCTTCCTGGGGCCTCTGCCCATGACCCTTCAGCAGAGAGAGCTTCTCTGACCACTGCATATGAAATGGCACTGCTTCTATCCGTTTCCATCCTCTCATCTCGTGTCTAGTTTAACTTTTCTTCGTTTTCATAACATCTGTCACCATCAGGCGTGGATATTTGACTTGCTCGTTGTCTATTCACCTGCACTGGAAGGTAAGTTCCACAAAGGCAGACTCCCCTGTGCCGGATCCAGTGCCCAGGGCACAACAGGCCAGCAGCAAATGCTTGGAAATCAAGTGATTATATGAATAACCACAGCATGAGAAAGGAAGGTAAAAACCTGAATGGTGCCTTCACCCAAGCTCATTGAGTACTTGGGGTTTGCCTGCCTTTTCTGCTCCTCCCTTTTCACAAGTAACTTCTAAGCACGTCCTCCTTGATCCTCTTATGCACTCTCCTAGGTGTGAAGCAGACCGAGGCTACTTTGATGTTCAGGTATAATCGACGGAGTAGGACGTTATCCACCGAAATGCAAATTCCAGATCTGGACGTCAACCTCGGGACCGTCCTTAGAGTCAGTGACGAATCTTCTAAGGACAAAAAGTCTTACAAACTCAACCTAGATATTCAGAACAAGAAAATCACTGAGATTGCATTCTCAGGCCACATAAGGTAAGGAAGGCGTGGAGGCCTGACCTTAGCTGCAGGCCAGGCTGGGCCTTCTTCTCCTTTTTCCTTCAGCTTTAGCTCTCACCAAGCCAGGTGCGGCCTTGCTCTGCAATTTTTGTAGCACCGAGAACCGTCAGTGCTCTGAACCTCTGCACATTTGCAGTTGGATCTTCCTATCACTTATTAAGCACTTAACTACCCACTACCAAGAATTAAGCTCAGTGCGTTAAAAGAAGACATGGAAATGGTAGCAAAAGGTGTTTTATTTATTTGATGAAGGCTGTAGAGCTAGGAAACAATATTGCAGAATGAAAACAGCTATCCAAATGCATATGTGTCTCCCTGTACCTCCCTGCAAAGTGCTCGGTGTTGGCTTTGGATCTATCTATGGTCATGTCTGTTCCCATATCTTGTTTTTGTCACCGAATATGGAACCGCTAACTGTTAAATCCTGTGTGTCTCCTCGGAATGACAAGATAATTGGTGCTGACCAATTTATTCTCAATAGTCACGACACAAAAGGAGATGGCAAGATCAAAGGCGTTGTTTCCATACCGCGTTTGCAAGCAGAAGCCAGAAGTGAGATCCTGTCCCACTGGTCTCCCACCAAATTGCTGCTTCAGATGGACTCCTCTGCTACAGCCTATGGCTCGACAGTTTCTAAGAGGGTGATGTGGCGTTACGGTATGTGGCTCCTTCCCCGGGTGAGCTCTACTCTGGGTGCTGTCGGAGTAGTCACAGTCACCGGTGGACCTAGCACCACTGACAGCTCTTTCCTGTGTGCATTTTCAGATGATGAAAAGATTGAATTTGAATGGAACACAGGGACCAATGTGGATACCAAAAAAGTGGCTTCCAATTTCCCTGTGGACCTCTCCGGTTATCTCAGAAGCTTAGAGATGCATGCCAGAGGTCTCCTACATCACAGAATTCCTCAAGCAGACATGTCTTTCTGGGACATGGGTTCCAAATTAATAGCAGTAAGTATGAATCAGCCAGCAAAATACATGCACGGTTGTAAGTGCTCATTACGTCCTCAACTCTCGGTTAGGCACAGGGGGAGGCCTGGAGATATGTATGGCATGTTTCATACGAATGCTTCCTGGCCTGGGAAACCCCTAGCAAGAAAATGTTATGCATGCCTAGTTACCTGGTTACCAAATGAACGGAAGCACTTGCTGTGCCGAACTAACTAAGGTATCAGAGAAAGCTTTGAGATACTCACTAGGAGTCTAACTGCATTATTCTTATAAAATGGGGGCTGAGATCAGCGACTGGAAACTTCTCTAATTCATTTTTACCTTTCAGGGCCTTGTCTGGCATGACAGTTGACCAATTAAATCTAGAGTATCAGCCAGTGTTATTTGTACTTTGAGGCTCACCAGCCCCTTATTTGCTCTAAAAATCTTCTGTCGTTTTGTAGACAACGAACACATGGCTGCAGGAAGCATCCGGTCACCTTCCTTATGCCCAGATTTTACAGGCTCATCTCAGTGGCCTAACACAGATGGACCTCCAGAAAATGAGTTTGCCGTATTTCCACATGCCTGACAACCTCTTCTTAAAAAGGTAAGAGAGGAAACTGGAGCACTTTCTCAAACCATGCAGGTTAAATGGGACATGTTACTGACTGTGACTTAGACTTTCATTTTTAATTTAAAATTCTGAGAAATAATTTATCCATTTAAGGAGACTGATAACTGACATAAACACTGTGACACTTTTTCATTATTAAATGTGAGGTCCAAATGTAAAAACCAACAGCGACTGGAAGATGATTGGGTACATTCATCCTGAAGTGTTTCATTCCCTGCAATCTGAATTTAAAGGCCGCTTGGCTTTCTTCCATTATGCGCACATGGCCCCTTCCTTCGGGGTCAGGATGTGCTCAATCTCAACTGACTATGAGGAATTCAAGAGTGGGTGGAGGAGTCACTGACAGTGTTTCTGTTGAGTGTGGCGGCTCAGAACAGCAGTGAGCATGGACGGAGGCAGCCTTCCAAGGGACTCGGTTTGACAACACTGTGCAGTCCTCCCAGGAGAGTCAGATTCCAAAGCACTCAGCCCATTTTTATCTTTACAAAAATATGTGTGATGCTTTGATTACTTTAACAATCAGAGCACAAGTTGAAACAAAAACTAGCCTTGTCTAAAGGTATTGGTCTTTGTACTGTCTTCAAGATTAAAAATATAAGCAGCCTGTGTTATGCAGGCCTTTCTGTAGTCTGTGACTGAGCGCCACAAGTGTGCAAGGCACCCAGATGGACAGAGACCACCAAGGAGAAGGGAAAGGATGGCAGCTCCCAAGCACAAGGACTGTCTGCACTGCTCATGCTTTGGCTCCCCAGCATTGGGCAGAGCCTTCGCGGTCAGTCACCGATCATCTTCTTGCTGAATATGAGGACCCTGGATAGGTGCAGTCAGCTCCTTTTACACTATTGCAACAAATGGTTTTTATTTGCTTATAACAGCCAAACATTGTAGTCCTACTGTATGTCTATGTTGTCATAATAGTCTGTGGTATGTGCATAATATTGAAAATGTTGCAAAGTGCTTCTAGGTATGCTTTATCATTTGATAACCAAAGGGTTTTCCATGAGGTCATCAGAAAGGGAACTGCTATCCCTACTCTGCATGTAACATCAGAGAGATTTATAGAAACTAATTCCCTAAAATAACAATGCCAGTGAGACTATCAGCCAGGTTTATTGATGCTTACACTTGTGCTCTCTCCACACATCGAGTTGTCTCAATTCAGTTTAGAAAATTTATAGGAAGTATCCACTCAGTACAAAATACTAGGCTAAATATGGTGAAACGATAGAAACTGGATACCGTATAGTCCTTCCTCCCAGGAGGACACCATACAGAGACTGACAAAGGAACGAACAGCTGTTATATAAGCAGAGTTGGGACATAGTCTTCAAGATAGGTATAAGGGACTATATCACTAAAAGAATGAGACAAAATATCTGTACTTAGGTGGGGTGGTGATGATGGGGGGCTGAAAAGGTTTTGAAAGGGTTGTTTGGAAGACAGCAGAAAATGCAAAGGGATCCAGGTACCAGGAATAGCTCAGTAAAAAGTGCAGAGTGGGTTTGGGAATCGGGCAGGTGCAACTGCTGGGAAGACCAGAAGGCCAGGAGCTCTGGTGGTGGATTTGATGGCTGGCTGTAAGGATATGACCTTTGTTGCTCATTTCAGTGATGGCCAAGTGAAATATACCTTGAACAAAAACAGCATTGAAGTTGAAATTCCTTTGCCTTTTGGTGGCAAATCTTCCAAAGATCTGAAGATATTTGAGACCATCAGGACACCAGCTCTCAACTTCAAATCTGTGGGACTCCACCTGCCATCTCGAGAGTTCCAAGTCCCCACTTTTACCATTCCTGAGTTGTATCATCTGCGGGTGCCTCTCCTGGGTGTCCTCACCCTCTCCACTAATGTGTACAGCAACTTGTACAATTGGTCCGCCTCCTACACTGGTGGCAACACCAGCAGGGACCACTTCACCCTCCAAGCTCGGTACCATGTAAAGGCTGACTCTGTGGTCAACCTGCTTTCCTACAGTGTACAAGGTGAGCTGTGCACAGGTAAAGTGTGCACAGGACCGACTCGGGGTAACTCTGGTGGGAAGGAAATGACTTAAGCTTTATGACAGATTTCTTCCTTGGTACTTGGAAATCTGTTAATTCATCCAACTGTATTCTGCTAGGCAGTAACAAAAAAAATGGTCTTATATCCCAGGAATGATGATTCAGTGTGAGAAATGCTGTGATAGTGCAATGAGCAAGAGTGGAAATACTCAATACGCGAGACCAACGAGGTCTATGGAGCTTAAGGAAGGCTTCCTAGAGGAATGCCTTTTGATACTGAATTTATAGTTGAATTAGAGATTAGGAGGCTATGTACAACTGACTCAGATAAATAGCTTTATTACTGAGAGACTTTTAACAGAGAAACTGTTCTGAAAACATATTCTTTAATTTGACCAGTGTCTTTCATTTTTATGTTAGGATCTGGAGAAACAACATACGATCACAGGAATACATTTACATTATCGTGCGATGGAGCCCTACGGCATAAATTTCTGGACTCAAATATTAAACTCAGTCATGTAGAAAAGGTTGGAAACAACCCAGCCTCCAAAGGTCTGCTAACACTGGATGCATCTACTTCCTGGGGACCACAGGTGTCTGCTTCGGTCCATTTGGATTTGAAAAAGAGGCAACATTTGTACATCAAAGATGTCAAGATAGATGGGCAGGTCAGAGCCTCTGCATTCTACGCTAAAGGCACATATGGCCTGACCTGCCAGAGGGACCCTGCCACTGGCCAACTAAGTGGGGAGTCCAACCTGAGCTTTAACTCCTCCTACCTCCAGGGCACCAACCGGATTACGGGGAGATACGAGGACGGTGCCCTCTCCCTCACCTCCACCTCTGAGCTGCAAGGTGGCACCCTTAAAAATACTGCTTCTCTGAAGTACGAAAACTATGAACTGACTCTGAAATCTGACACCAGTGGGAAGTCTGACAACTTGGCCGCTCATAACAAGGTGGATCTGACCTTCTCTAAGCAAAACGCACTGCTGCGCTCTGAGTATGCGGCCGATTACAAGTCATTAAAATTTTTCTCCCTGCTCTCTGGATCCGTGAATTCCCATGGTGTTGAATTAAATGCTGACGTCCTGGGCACCGACAAAACCAACGCCGGTGCTCACAAGGCAACACTGAGGATTGCCCGCGATGGAATCTCTACCAGTGCAACGACCAGCCTGAAATACAGCCCCCTGTTTCTGGAGAATGAGCTGAACGCAGAGCTTGGCCTCTCTGGGGCATCTGTGAAGTTAACAGCAAATGGCCGCTTCAGAGAGCACAGCACAAAATTCACCCTGGATGGAAAAGCCGCCCTCACCGAGGTGTCACTGGGAAGTGCTTATCAGGCCATGATCCTGGGTGTGGACACCAAAAACATTTTCAACTTCAAAGTCAGTGGCGAAGAACTGAAGCTCACCAACGACCTAAAGGGCTCCTATGGGGAGATGACCCTGGACCACACCAACAGTCTGCACATCGCAGGCTTATCCCTGGAGTTCTCTTCAAAACTCGACAGCATCTATAGCTCTGACAAGTTTTATAAGCAAAATTTCAACTTCCAGATTCAGCCCTTTTCTCTTGTAACTGCTTTAAACAATGACCTGAAATACAGCGCTCTGGGTCTGACCAGCAGCGGGAAGGTGCGGCTGGAACCACTGAAGCTCGTCGTGGACGGTAACCTGAAAGGCTCCTACCAAAATAATGAGATAAAACACATCTTCGCCGTTTCTTACGTCGACGTATCAGCAAGCTGCAAGGCGTCTACTGTGGCGAGGATTCAGGGAACGGAGTTCAGCCATCAGCTCAGCGCGGGCCTCACTGGGCTGGCTGCATCCGTAGACACCAGCACAAACTACCACTCGGATTCGCTGCGCTTCGGCAGCGCCTTCCACGCTGCGATGGCCCCGTTCACCCTGGCCGTCGACGCGCACGCAAACGGCAATGGGAAACTGGCTGTCTGGGGAGAGCACACCGGCCAGCTGTACAGCAAATTCCTGCTGAAGGCAGAGCCTTTGGCTCTCACTTTCTCTCACGACCACAAAGGGTCCACAAATCACCGTCTCTTGTCCAGGAAAAGCATCAGCACGGCTGTCGATCACAAACTCAGTGTCCTGCTTACGCCATCCCAGCAGACCAGCACCTGGAAACTCAAGACCCAGCTGAACGACAACGAGTACAGCCAGGACTTCGACGCTTACAACACCAAAGATAAGATCGGCGTGGAGCTCCGTGGGCGTGGCCTGGCCGACCTCGCCGCGCTGGACTCCCCGATTAAGGTGCCGCTTTTCCTCAGTGAGCCCGTCAATGTCCTCGAGGCCTTACAGATGAAAGACGCTGTCCAGCAGCCCCAAGAATTCACGATCGCTGCTGTGGTAAAGTATGACAAGAACCAAGACGTCCACACCATCAGCCTCCCGTTCTTTAGATCACTACCAGAATACCTGGAGAGGAATAGACTAATGCTTATAACTGTACTGGAAGCCATGCAGAAGGAGCTGAAAAGCATCAAAATTGATCAGTTTGTGGGGAAATACAGAGCAGGCCTGGGCAAACTCCCCCAGCAAGTTAATGACTACCTGAATGCCTTCAGCTGGGAGGGTCAGGTTGCCAGTGCCAAGGAAAAACTGACTGCATTCGCAGAAAATTATAGAATCACAGAAAATGATGTACAAGCTGCACTGAATAATGCCAAAATCAACCTCAATGAAATACTCTCTCAACTTCAGACATATGTGATACAATTTGATCAGTATATTAAAGATAATTATGATCTATATGATTTAAAAGTAGCTATTGCTAAGATTATTGATCACATTATTGAAAATTTAAAAATCCTTGATGAACGTTATCATATCCGTGTAAATTTAGTAAGAACAATCCACAATGCACATTTGTTTATTGAAAATATTGATTTTAACAAAATGGGAAGTAGTACAGCATCTTGGATTCAAAATGTAGACATTCAGTACCAAATCAGAAGCCAAATGCAGGAAAAATTGCAGCAGGTCAGGACACAGCTTCAGAATGTAGACATCCAGGAGATTGCTGCAAAGTTAAAGCAACAGGTTGAGGCCATTGATGCCAGAGTGCTTTTAAATCAATTGAGAACTACAATTCCATTCCAAAGAATAAAGGACATTATTGAGCATATCAAATACTTTGTAATAAGTCTTATTGAAGATTTTGATGTAACTGAGAAAATCAATGCTTTTAGAGCCATAGCCCATGAGTTAATTAAGAAATATGAAGTAGACCAACAGATCCAAGTTTTACTAGATAAATCAGTACAGTTAGCTCACCAATATAAGCTGAAAGACACTGTTCAGAAACTAAGCAATGTCCTACAGCAAGTTGATATGAAAGATTGCTACGAGAAACTGCTTGTGTTTGTTGATGATATTATCAGGCAGCTCAAAGCATTTTCTTTTAAACATTTCCTTGAAGAATTAAACCAATTTCTTGACATTTTGGTAAAGAAATTAAGGTCATTTGATTACCACCAGTTTGTAGATGATACCAACCACAAAATCCGGGAGGTGACTCAGATAATCAACACTGAATTTCAGGTTCTTGACCTACCACAGAAAGCTGAAGCGCTGAAACTGTTTGTAGAGGATGTGAGGGCCATGCTGTGTGCCTTTCTGGAAAAGCTAAAGGACACCAAAATAAATGTATTTGTGAATTCGTTACAGGATGCACTAAATTCTGCACATTTGGTTCCCATAAAAGCAAAATTCCAAGAGACTCTAGAAGATCTACGAGACCGGATTTATCAGATGGACATCCAACAAGAACTGGAGCACTACCTGTCTCTGGCAGGCCAGGTTTACAGCACACTTGTCACCTACATCTCTGACTGGTGGGTTGTTGTTGCTAAGAACCTCACCGACTTTGCAGAGCAATATTCTGTCCAAGCCTGGGCTGAAAATGTGAAAGCTTTGGTGGAACAAGGGTTCACGGTCCCTAAAATTCAGCTCATTCTTGGGACCTTGCCGGCCTTTCAAATTAGTCTTCGCGCTCTTCAGGAAGCTTCTTTCCAGACTCCTGACTTCACAGTTCCCCTGACAGATTTGAGGATCCCATCTGTTCAAATCAACTTCAAAGAACTGAAAGATATAAAAATTCCACCCAGGTTTTCCACGCCTGAATTCACTATCCTCAACACCTTCCACATTCCTTCCTTTACAATTGACTTCTTGGAAATAAAAATCAAGATTATCAGGACCATTGACCAGATGCTGAGCAGTGAGTTCCAGTGGCCAGTTCCAGAAGTGTATCTGGGGGACCTGAAGGTGGAGGATGTCCTTCCTGCCAGACTCGTGCTACCAGACTTCCACTTACCGGAAATCGCAATTCCAGAATTTCTAATCCCAAATCTGAACCTCACAGAGTTTCAAGTTCCTGACCTTCACATACCAGAATTCCAGCTTCCTCCCATCTCATACACTGCTGAGATACCTGCTTTTGGCAAGCTGAATAGCATTTTGAAAATCCAGTCTCCTCTTTTCACCTTAGATGCAAAAGCTGACATACACAACATAACTACTTCGGAGCACCAAGCGGGGACTGAAGCTTCCATCGCTGCCAAAGGAGAGTCCAAATTCGAAGTTCTCAATTTTGATTTTCAAGCAAATGCACAGCTCTTGAATCCTAAGACTAATCCACTGTTTCTCAAGGAATCCATGAATTTCTCTAGCAAGTACCTAAGAATGGAGCATGAAAGTGAAATACGATTTTCTATAAATGCCATTGAAGGAAAATCAGACACCCTGGCAAGTTTACATACAGAAAAAAATACACTGGAGCTGCATAATGGTGTGGTGGTCAAGATAAAAGATCGGCTCACCCTGGACAGCCACACGAAATACTTCCACAAGCTGAGCATCCCCACCCTGGACTTCTCCAGTAAAGCAGACCTGAGTAATGCTGTCAAGACACTCCTGGAAGTTGGATACATAACACTGACCTCTTCTGGAGCAGGGTCATGGAAATGGGCCTGTCCCAACTTCTCAGACGAGGGAACACATGAATCACAAATCAACTTTACGGTGGAAGGACTGCTTGCTTCCCTTGGAGTAGCCAATAAGATTAACAGCAAACACCTAAAAGTAAGCCAGAATTTGGCTTATGAATCTGGCTTCCTCAACTTTTCTAAGTTTGAAATTCGGTCAGATGTGGAATCCCAGCACTTGGGCCACAGCGTTCTCACTGCCAAAGGCATAGCCCTACTTGGGAAAGGGAGAGCAGAGATAACTGCAGACCACAATGCTCACTTAAATGGGAAAGTGATTGGAACTTTGAAAAATTCTCTTTTCATTTCAGCCCAGCCACTTGAGATTACTGCATCCGCAAGTAATGAAGGGAATTTGAAAGTTAGTTTTCCATTAAGATTGACAGGGAAGATAGACTTTCTAAATGACTATGCACTACTTGTGAGTCCTGCTGCCCAGCAAACAAGTTGGCAGGCAAGTGCTGGGTTCAATCAGTATAAGTACAACCAAAACTTCTCTGCCACCAACAATGAGAACAGCATCGATGCCCATGTATCGATCAATGGAGTTGCCAACCTGGATTTCTTAAACATTCCGTTTACAATTCCTGAAATGAACCTACCTTACACAGCACTCACAACTCCCTCCCTGAAGGATTTCTCCATATGGGAAGAAACAGGCTTGAAGGAATTCTTGAAAACAACAAAGCAATCATTTGATTTAAATGTAAGTGTTCAGTATAAGAAAAACAAAGACAAGCATTCCATCGCAGTTCCTTTGGGTGCGTTTTATAAGTTTATCAGTCAGAATGTCAACTCCTTGGACAGCTATTTTGAGGATGTCAGAGATAAGGCATTGGATTTTCTTACTACATCCTATAATGAAGTGAAAATTAAGTTGGATGAGTATAAAGCTGAAAGATCCCTCAACAAACTCCCCCAGACCTTTCCGAGGCCTGGATACACCATTCCAGTTGTCAATGTTGAAGTGACTCCATTCTTAGTAGAGACGCTGCCATCTGGTCATGTGATCCCAAAAGCTGTCCATACCCCCAGCTTCACTATCCCGGGTTCTGACTTCTATGTGCCTTCATACACGTTGGTTCTGCCATCCTTTGAACTTCCAGACCTCCATATCCCTAGGAATCTACTCCAGCTTTCTCTCCCAGATTTCAAAGAGCTGAGCACTGTCAACAATATTTTTATTCCAGCCATGGGCAACATAACCTATGATTTTTCCTTCAAATCAAGTGTCATCACCCTGAATGCCAATGCTGGACTTTATAACCAATCGGACCTTGTCGCTCATTTCCTTTCTTCCTCTTCGTTTGTCATCGATGCGCTGCAGTACAAATTAGAGGGCACTTCACGCTTGACAAGGAAGAGAGGACCGAAGTTAGCCACAGCTCTGTCCCTGAGTAACAAATTTGTGGAAGGCAGTCATGACAGCACCATTAGCATCACCAAGAAAATCATGGAAGCATCAGCAACCACGACTGCCAAAGTCCATGTTCCAGTTTTGAGAATGAATTTCAAGCAAGAACTTAATGGAAATACCAAGTCAAAACCTACTGTCTCTTCCTCCATTGAGCTAACATACGACTTCAATTCCCCACAGCTGCTCTCCACCGTCAAGGGGGCGATTGACCACAAGCTCAGCTTAGAAAGCCTCACCTCTTACTTTTCCATTGAGTCATCTACCAAAGGAGATATCGAAGGTGTGGTCCTCTCGAGGGAATATTCAGGAGCTATTGCCAACGAGGCCAGCACTTACCTGAGTTCCAAGGTGACCCGGTCTTCAGTGAAGCTGCAAGGTTCTTCCAAAGTTGATGGTATCTGGAATGTTGAACTAAAAGAAAACTTTGCTGGGGAAGCCACTCTCCGACGCATATATGCCATGTGGGAACACAGCGTGAAAAACCACTTACAGCCACACAGGCACTGGTCCAGTCATGGAGAACACACAAGCAAAGCCACCCTGGAGCTGTTCCCGGGGTCAGTATCAGCCCTCATTCAGATTCGTGCACGGGAGATCAATTCTGTCTTTGACATTCCTCACCTTGACCAGGAAGTAGCCCTGAATGCTAATACTAAGCACCAGAAGTTCAGCTGGAAAAGTGAGGTCCAGGCTCCATATGGGACTCTCCAGCACAATGGGCAGCTTTCTAATGACCAGAAAGAGGCACGCTTTGACATTGCAGGGTCCTTAGAAGGGCACCTGCACTTCCTCAAGTTTGTCACCCTACCTGTGTACGACAAGAGCATATGGGACCTGCTAAAACTGGACGTAACCACCAGCTCCCGAAAGAGACAATATCTTCGTGCTTCAACTGCTCTTGTGTACACCAAAAACCCCAAGGGCTACCCCTTCTCTGTTCCTGTGCAAGAACTGGCTGACAAATTCATCATCCCAGGCCTGAAACTAAGTGATCTGAGCTCAGACCTCGCCACACCTACATTCCGAGTACCATTTACAGACCTTCAGATCCCAGCCTACACACTTGACTTCAATGAAATCAAAATCTACAAGAAGCTAAGTACATCTCCATTTGCCCTTAACCTCCCCGCACTACCCGAAGTAAAATTTCCCCAAGTGGATGTGTTGACAAAATATTCTGAACCAGAAGAATCCTCCGTCCCCTTTTTTGAGATAACTGTGCCTGAAGTTCAGCTAACTGTGTCTCAGTTCACTCTTCCAAAAAGTCTTGCAGTGGGCAGTACTGTTCTGGATCTCAATGAAGTGGCCAGCAGGGTTGGGGACTTCGAGCTGCCCACCATCACTGTGCCTGAGCAGACAATTGAGATTCCTTCCATTAAGTTCTCTGTACCTGCTGGAGTTTTTATTCCTTTTTTTGGAACACTGACTGCACATTTTGGGGTGGCCTCTCCCCTGTATAATGCCACCTGGAATGCTGGTTTGAAAAACAAAGCGGATCATGTCGAAACATTCCTGGATTCCACGTGCAGCTCTACCTTACAGTTCCTAGAGTACGACCTAAATGGTAAGGAAATGTCCTGGCCCCTCTGCTAGCTACTCCACATTTGCAGCAAGAGTTGTGATTAAATGATTACTTGTTCAGTTATCACCAGAGGTATAATTACTCTGTGACAAGATTTAAAAGAAAATAGATCGTACACATGCAAAAACAAAATTATAGGAAATCCCCTGACTTTTAAGAATAGGTTCAAAGAAAAGGAATGTTGCTATAATACTTTTAGCGCAAATAGTGTCTTTTCTTTATTAAAAAAAAGAAAAAAAAGTGAAGGCAGACACAGTGGCATGTACTTGTAGTCCCAGCTGCTTGGGTTGCTAAGACAGGAGGATCACTTGAGCCTAGGAGTTTGAGGCCAACCTGGGCACAGTAAAGAGACTCTATCTCAAAAAGGAAAATAATAAAATAGAATAAAAATAAAGTCAATTCTAGTCACAGGGGTGTAGCCTGGTGGTAAAGCATTTGCCCCGCATGGGTGAGGTCCTGGGTTTGGTTCCTAGCACCACCAAAATAAATAGAAATTTTTAAATGATGGACAGCACATTTCATGCTTTAAACATGTAAGCCGGCTGATCAAGATATAATTCTTCCGGCTTTCACAATGAGAATGCCTATGTCTCACAGTTATCCGCTTAATGAGATATCAAATCTCCCTACACAGTTGTGGGAACCCACAGAATTGAAGATGGCATGCTCATCTGCAAGACCGAAGGGATGCTTGCCCACCATGACTTCAGCGCAGAATATAAAGAAGACGGAAAATACAAAGGACTTGAGTATGGCCCTTTCGTTGAAGTGCTGTCTCCTGAAAGCTCATCGCGATGCCCGCCATCTCTGCTCCCTTTTCTTTGACTCATCTGCCTTTCTGCTTTCAGGGACTGGGAAGGGGAGCTGAGCCTGGACATCAGCAGCCCAGCGTTCACTGAGCTCCACTTGCACTACCAAGAGAACGAGAAGAGCGTGTCCTCCTCGGCAGCCTCCCCGGCCATAGGCACCGTGGGCCTGGACATGGAGACAGAAGGTGGCCGCAGCTTCGAGTTCAAGCTCTACTTCCAGCCTCAGGTGAGTCCTAGGCTGCACACACCCGAGAGCAAGTAGAGGATTGTAGTGGGTGCATTTAACTCAAGACAGTTCTTATAGAGCACCCCAAACTAGGGGACAGACGGGTAGTGAGCAAGAGGCACTGTTCTCCAGAAAGGGCCACGATGGCTCCTTCCCTGAGTTTAATCGGCAGACACACCCATGAATGATCCTAATGCCACTGCTATCTCAGGATAAATCCAGAGAGATGAATGTGGCACCTCCTGACCTCAATCACAGGTGAACTCGGCCTCATGCAGAGTACGTTGCTTTTCAAATTATGATTTCTGGAGTACTTGAGGATTCAAAATTCTTCTGCACAATAGAATTATTCAAGGGTACACATCAAAGTCCTCTTGCATCACTTATAAGCTGTGCCGGGGCCACATGGAAGACGCTGTTACCAGAGGGAGACTGACTCTGGTTCTGTGACGAAGCTTGTGTCAGGGACCTGGAGAATGGTGCTGAAATCAGTAGTCGATGTCCCTCCCTTCCTTCCTACTCCTTGTCCTCAGCCTCCCTTCTCCTCTCCCTCCTCTCCCAAACTGCAGTCCTAGGAAAGTCATGTTAAGTGCTGCTGTTAAATGCCAAGCATGTTCTCGATCCTTTCTAGTGCATACAACGAGGGGAAGTTAATAACAGTGGGCTTGTTTAACCATAAAACAGACATGCAAACTGACATATGAGAGATGAATCCCCATCAGACTATGAAAGATCTTTTAATACTTTTAACTGTTGGTGAAATTGTAATGTAGATTATTTTATAAGCAGAGTAACTAAAAACCTGTTTCTCTCATCTGGTTTTTTTCCTGGTTTTAGTCCTCTCCAGGCCAACAACTCAACATATTCAAAACCAAGTGGAGGTACCGGGAATCTGACGATAAAACTCAGATGAAATTTAACTGGGAGGAAGAGGCAGCTTCCAGACTGCTGAACTCTCTAAGGGACAATGTGCCAAAGGCCACAGGAGCCTTTCATGCCTATGTTGACAAGTACCACCGGGAGTACACGGGACTCAGCCTGGAAGATGCTTCTGTGAAACTCGGGAGAAGTCTGCTGGACAGTGCTGAGGGAGCCTACCAAAGAGCCAGGAGGCAGATCGATAAGATAGATGTGGGACTCCAGAGAGCAGCTAGCAGCACTACAGGAGCCTACCAGGAGTGGAAGGAAAAGGCCCAGGACTTATACCAGGGCCTGCTGGCTGACGAGGGACAAGCCACTTCCCACAGACTCAAAGACAAGGTGTTTGACAGTTTGTTACAAGTTACTCAGGAGTCCCACATGGCAGCCAAGCATATGATTGACTCCTCTATTGGTTTCTTGCAGCTCACCAGAATCCATCTCCCGGGGATAGCAGGGATGTACACTAGAGATGAACTCTGCACAATGGTCATGAAAGAAATCGGGAAAGCACTGTCCCAGGCATATTCAAATATCCAGAGTGGGTTAGAGAAGCTGCTTTCCTATGTCCAAGACCTAGTGGAGAAATCTGAATTAATCAAAGACCTACAGATTAAATTTCCTTTTTATTCAGAAAGCCATACACTGACAGAGGTAATTCTGAAGTCTAGGAAACTGTTGGAATTTTTATCAAAAGAAGCCCAAGAGGTATTTACTGACCTACAGTCTATCAAGTTTTCAGAGACACTGACTGAACTCCAGAGCCTTTTACAAAGAGTTTTCCAAGAGATAGAAGAAGAAATAAAACTGTTAAAGGAGACCAGGCTTATCCACCCCATTAATGCCATCCACACAGTCTTCAACACATATATTCCGCTTGCTTTTAGGGTGCTGAAAGAAAGTCTATGCCTTAACCTTACAAAGTTCAATGAGCTTGTTCAAAATAACCTTCAGATGGCTTCTGAAGGGTTGCAGCAGACCCATCAGTATATAAAGGCTCTTCGCGAAGAGTATTTTGATCCAAGTGTAGTCGGCTGGACAGTAAAATACTATGAACTTGAAGACAAGATCATTGACCTGGTCATGGACCTGGTGATTGCCCTTCACAACTTCCATTCCACGTACGCAGCCTATGTGACCAGCTATGTTTCCCAGCTCTCAGCCCTCGCTGAGCAATTCGTACACAAAGATGTCCAAGAATATCTGTTCATCCTCGCAGATGCAGACGGAAAGGGGAAAGAGAAAATAGCAGAGCTTTCTAACACTGCTCAGCAAGTGATTAAAACCTTGATCACTGCAACAAAGGAGATTGTTTCTGATTACCAGGAGAAGTTCACATCTAAACTACAAGAGTTTCCAGACCAGTTCTCTGATTACCATGAGAAATTCATCGCTGAGTCCCAAAGAGTGATGGACCTCTTCATTCAAAACTACCACATGATTCTAAGCTATATCACGGAGTTACTGCAAAAGCTGCAGGCAGCCACAGCCAGTGGAGGGAATGCCTACATAAAGCTTGCTCCAGGAGAACTTACTGTTACTTACTAAATTTAATCCCCACTTATTGGTGCATTGCAATTAAACTTGCACACAATGGGTGGAAAATTCAAACTACTGATAAAACACACACTGAGCCGGCCTGCAGCAGGCAACTGACTAAAGGCAGATGCACATAGGAACGGGACCTGCTCTGGAGCTGATGTGGGGGCTCTGAACTCTGGGGGGTGACAATGTTTTTTTGCAAGTTAAAATCAGGATCTGAATTATTTTGCTAAACCTGGGAGGGGGCAAATAAATGGATTCTGTTTCACACCACTCAGTATGGTCCTCTGCATTAGAAGATAGTGCAATTAGGGTATCGATTCAAGTATTCTGGCGTTTCAGCACCTCTAGAACATATATGATGACCTACGTGATGGAAAGGAGACAGGAAGCATTACGAATGGAGACATTTTATCACCTAAAAAACAGAGGTGATTCATCTCAAGAACTGTATTTTCCACGTGAAAAGGAAAAGGTCACAGAAATTTTTACATAATTTGATCATGAGGAGCATCTCATTTATCTTTAAGTGCCACATAGCCTTCCTCACCAACCTGCCTGCCTTTGCCAGGCGAGGCTCTCTTTCAGCTTTAAGGTAAACCAGCAGGCCTTCGACTTCACCCGGCCTGCCGGCAGCGAAGAGGAGAGGTAGGGAGCCCTGGTCTTCAGGCCACTGAGAGAGAAGTTTGGTTAGGAGAGGAGGGTGGGGGAGTGAACGCGTAACACTCCTGTAAGTAAGTGCACATTCAGGTTCTGGAACTTCCTTATATTTCCAAAAGCAATACCTACTCGTCCCATTGCAGTCAAGTCAGGGGGCTCTCTTGCTGCCCCATGCACCCACTACAAGCTCTGATTTTAAACATAAGCAATTTCAGTCAGCACGCTTCTGGTGCTGAGCACTACATACCTTTCCATCGAAGTGAGGAGAGTCAGTGAGATGCCAGTGTCTTCAGAGGCCCCACAGTCTTCCTTTGCAGGGCATTTACCAGGCCTCCCTCTGCCCTGAGATCCAGACCTGATTTGTCCCTTCTCTCGCCCTAAATATTGACCCGTCATTTACACATTTCTTTATCCACCCAGCCAGTCAGGAGAATTTCCTGGACTACCTGATCCAAGCTCCTGGGTGCCTCTCTTTCCATTTTCCCATCAAAGCTGGTGTGTGCTGTTCTAGGAGGGGGATAAACAGTACAGAGGCACCATGAAGACTTTAAGTAGAAAAACTCATGGAGAGGAAGTTGCTACAGAAAAACTTGAAAGGGATCTTGATGATACACAGACTTTAATAAACCAATACAGGAGAGGGGCAGCTCCAAATGAGGGGACCCAGGTGCAGAGGTGGGTTGTTCAGTTTGGCCAAGGTATAGGAAGAGTAGTCAGAAAGGACAGTTTGGCAGTGTTGTGGGGCTTGAACACTGGAGTGGAAGTGCCGCTTTTTGCTGAAGAAGGGCATCCGGAGAAAGGTTCTGAGTAGGAGAGTGATATCAGGTGCGACTCGGGGACCTCAATCCATACTGCAACATTATACATAATGAGTGGTAATGGAACCAACCTGAGTGCCCGAGAAAAAGATGGACCCACCTGTGACTTGACAAGCATCTCAGGCAGGTGGGAAAGAAACGGTGGGATGAAAGCAGCACCATGAAGCAGAGGGGTAGGAACAGGCGGCTGTTACTGAGAACACAAAGGATGAGCACAAGAACCGTTGGAAATGAAGCGGCCTCAAAGTCACTGGAGGTAGGAACTGAAGAGTTACGGGCGAGATAGGAAAAAACGGTAAGAACAACACGTATTTTACTGTTTTCTCCTGAGATAACAAAATAGCACAGACTGAGTAATTTATAAAGAAAGTGAATTTGTTTTCACAGATCTGAGGGCTGGGAAGTCCAAGAGCAAGGGCCTGTTTCTAGCAAGGGTTTTCCTGCTGCGTGCGTAATGGCAGAAGAGCAAGCAAGCAACAGGCAGGGAAGGAAATCCGATGGAACCCCCCTGTCTTATAACTAACCTGCTCCCTTGGCAGCGGCCTTACCCCATTCAGAAGGTCCGCTCCAGACCTCAACACCTAATGCTATTGCTTCGAGGTCTAACTTCCCAAGCCATGAATTGTGCAAAGAGGAAAGCAAACCTCCCATTTAACCTACAGAATTATGGAGCAGCATTAGAATCGTGATGAATGTGTGTTCAGAGGGAGACGATTGTTGTGGCAATGGACTCACAGAGAGCAGGGGCTGTGGGCTTGCACAGCACGTTTCAATCTGCAGTGGAGTGGTACGCCCAGGTGGAAAACATTCTCAGAGAAAAACCAAAGATGTGGGCTTGAGAAACAATATCCAAAACAATGTGGATGAGTGAGAACTTTAGCCAATTGTATTAATTTCATAGATCTGTAGAAATTTATCAAGGAGGAAAAGAGCTCTCCTTTGGCACCACTGATGGGTCCTGAGAATGAATTAACATGCAAATCTCCTAAGAACACACCCCGAGGCGCTGTGGAAAATCCTGCTGTAAATATGGCTGTTCCTCCTATGAAACAAATACCCAAGTTAAAACCCAATGAGAAATCAAATAATAAAACTCAGCCTGGGTCCGTGGAACTTCAGAAGTAAGACCTGACTGTGTGCTTTGGTTGGGCTCCCAGGTCCCACGTGGACTGTGGCACTGTCCCCAGGGTCACCTTAAGATTCAGGGGTCTATTTGGATGGGGTGTGACCATGTCCGATTTCCTCCCGCTGCTTTCCTCTTGAAGGCTGGTCTGCAGAACAGACTTTCCCCCTTTTTCTGATGAGATGAGAAAATCCCCTTTCACTTCCCGTTCTAGGTCCCCTTTCTAATTTATAGCCTAGTCCCCATTCAGTCAGAAAAGGGGCCCAGATGGCCCTCAGATGGAACCTATAATATGGGCGCGAGAGGGGACGAACAGATGTTCCCCTAAAAGTGTCTGATAGCCAGAGATAAATGTGCAGACACAGACCTGGCCTCTTAGCTCATCTCCTTGTATGCTGTTTCCCATTAAGAGGTCAGCTCCAACTCCCTTCCAAGTGCTCCACTTGTTGGTGGGATGGTTGGGTGGTCAGCAGCAAATGACATTTGGGGCCTCATAAAAGTTGATGGAATAGGTACACACGTTTCCTCAAGGAAATCCCTGCTTTTCTGTTCCTCCAAACTGGCTTCTGCCTTCGCCTCTTGCCTTCTGACTCCTGTTTGCAGATCCAAAGGTCAGGCCCCGTTGACTGCTTTTCGTAGACAGGTGCAGGTGATGCTGGGATACAGGGTAACCCTTCAGGACAAGCCACTGTGAGATGAGGGGGTGCCCCAAATCAGGGCTCCCCTCTTTCTGCAAAGACCACAGGCTCCCTCACTGGCTTTCTGAGATCTGCAGGAATCCCAGGGAGATCTGCCTCCCAAAGGTCCTCTCTATGGCCAGTGAGGCCTCTGCTTAGAAGTCAGGAGACCTACATTCTGGCCCCTCCAGTGCTGATGCAATGGACCTTGTGATCTTGAGCAGAGGACTCGCAGTATTGACAGCTTGTAAACTGAATCTGACCCCAGGGTGCCCCGCTTTCAGCAAATCCAATGCACACAGAAGTATAGCCCCACACTCACAGTCAGCAAGGGCCGGCGGCCAAGTCTCCTGCTTCTCACATACCCTAAACAACCCACTGGGCCTTGAGGTTGTGTGGACATCTCTAACACACGGCTGTCCCTGTGAGCTACCTGCTTCTGTCTCTCTAGGGCTCTCTCTCTTTCCAGCCCTCCTTCCTTACCCCAGGTTCCCAGACCCTGTCGCCTCACTCAGCAGAGGAAGGGCATCACTGTCTTGGGATAACGTGAGCTTCTCTGGGGCAAAGAGCTCTCTAGCTTGTTTCTGGGGAGAGGCAGAGACTCACAGCCCACAGGCCCATTGCACGGTTTTCCTTGAAGTAAGCCACCCTCCAGGCAGGAGAAGTTCGGCCTTCACGATAGGCCGACAGATTCTAACAGCAGCCAGCACTACAGTAAGTTTTCCCTCCCTTTACAGATAAAATAGAGCAACCTCTTATCCTATGTGCTTGTAAAAGAATCTATTTAACAAAAGAAAATTGTTTTAAGCATCTCCTGGGCCAAGGTGGTAAAACAAAGAGAGGTCCGTTGCCTGCCCCTAAAAGAAAAGACCTTTGCACGGAGGAAAGTTAGTAAAGTCTTTCCCTCTCTCAAGGAGATGGGCCCTGCAGATTCCAGTCCATGGTAAAGCTTTTCTCCGCTCCCCTCCCCTCTTCTCTTCTTTCCTCTTCTCCTCTCTCCACTTCTCTTCCCTCTCCTCCCCTTCCCCTCCCCTTACCTCCTTCTTCCTTCATAAAGAAAAAACTTACACAAAAACAATCACTTACATTATTTCTGAGACAATCCCAGCCCTGCTTTCCTTCACATACTCACTAGGTCCTGAAAATGTCTGGTATTCACTTGAAGAAGTCAAAGGATCTTTAAGAGAACCTGGTGAGAAATCGTTTTGTGAGGCCAAGATTCCTCTTACTCTGAGAGCATTCTGCCTAAAATGAGTCTTCCTTGCAAATTGCATTCTTTGTGGAATTTTCTTGAATCAGCTTCATTTGCTGAAGCCATTGGCAGACAGACAATATGCCCAGAGGCTAGAAGGATTTGGTTCTGCCGTACAGAAATGCCTTTAGTCTAGATAATACCCAGGCAAGAGAAATCAAGCAAGCCACTTCACCTGTGTGGATGGGCGCATTCCCCACACAGGCCTTGGACTAACATGGGAGTGGGAGATGTTTCTGCTGTGAGGCTCACAGAGGACAGACTTTTCCTGGGAGTCAGGCCCTGAGCTCACCAGCGTCTCCTCACTGTGACCGTAGCCTGAGAACTTTGAGGAAGGGTGGACGTTGATTTGGCTCAGAAACCTTGCTCCTCAGTCTCTTGGGGCTCTGTGGCTTCCGGGCTCCTGGTGAGCAGAGCGTCATGGCAGAGGATGTGGCAGAAAAAAGCATCCTGAGGCGGGGAGGTGGAGCCAGAGGGGGAGAGGTGGGGAACGGGACACCATTAAAGCACATGTACGCCAGGGGCCTCTTCTCCTGACAGCCAGAGAGTCATCCGTGAGGCCTCCTCTGAGCAGCTCAGCGTGGTCCGGCCACCTCAGAACATGAGTCTGAGGAACACCTGCTATTGGAACCCTAACCCAGGCTCTCCTCTCACTTCCGGGGCAGACTTCTGTCCCCTCTTTGTAACATGCCAGGCTTGCTACTCTCCGTGATTTACTCGTGCTCTTCTCCGGCCAGACACACCCTCCTCAGGTCCTCTGGAGTTCCACCTCCTCACAAGTCTTCCAGAACCTTCCAGCCCTCTCCTGCTCTCCCTCAGCCTTCACTGCCCACCGTGGTGACCCCTACTGTCCCCCCTCAGGTCTGGGTTCCCTCGCTGTCTACCCCAGATGAGGTACATGCAGGACTGGACTAGGACCCTGGGTCTGCGGCGTCCGTGCGCCCATCTGCACCCTGCTGAGGATGACATTGCCTCGCTTCCCCCAGGAGGGCCACTCGGCACATTCCACTCTGGGGCTGCCCTGTTGGGAACCAGCTGCAATTTCTTGAGCCTGCAAAAGCAGTTCATGCCCTCTTCAGTGCCCCTTCTGCCTGAGCCTTGGTGGAAATCGTAGGTCAGGAGGTAAAGAGGCTGGACCTGGGGTGTGCGGTTCTGGGTGCCGCCCCCATTGTTCCGGTGGTACCTGTCACGCCATCCTCCTGCCCTGCCATGTCTTCATCCTGTAAACTCTTGTGACCGTGACAGCACTGCACTCCGGGGCCACTCATCCTGCCTGGTACACAGCAGGTGCTAAGAAAAGGTCTGGCTGTGTGAATTACGGGCAGGGCCAAGCTTTCGCCAGCCAGGAGGTCATAGCCATGCACTGGGCTCAGCCCCCAGGAGCCACCGTGCTCACCACTGGTCCCGAACAGGCCAGCCCTGACACCCTCTTGCTTCTTGCAGGAACTTTCTCCTGCTGGACAGAACACACGCTTCCCGTCAGCTTTTATTTTTGTGATGCTTGCTTGAGTGGGGCATTCTGTTCTTGGAATTTCTTGTTAAAGTATTTCATTTAATTAAGTTTTTACAACCAGCTCTGCTTTGTGTCTGCCAAAAGGCCCACGCTCAGCTCCCCAGGAGGCCAGGTCACCGAGGCTCTGAGAGAGCCAAGCTCAGGCTTAGGGCTGCGTATGAGGTGCCCAGAGCCCTTGCGTGTACCCCACAGGCTGAGTTTGTCCCATTTCAGTCCCCCCACACTGGGCCCGGCAGAAGCATGATCTGAGTGCTCTCTGGCGAGGCTCTTGCTCAGCCTGGGGCCACCCCGTGTCTGAATCCCAAACACAGTCCCAGCAAGTGTGCTGTAGACCATCAGACAGCTCCCCGCGTCCTTGCTCCCCATTCAAGCAGCTGGCCTGGCCTGGCTCCCCTTGGAGCCTCCCCAACCCCCTCCGCCCTCCATGTGTGCAGGGTCCCCTCGGGCCCTGCAGCTCCTCCTCTGTCCCTCCCACAGCCCAGTGTATGCCTGG